TTCACAATGCATTGCGAGAGGCTTAGATCGCTACTTGAAATAATTTGCTATGTTATTTATTATATTATTATTTGATTGTCGCCTCCTTTCCCCTTTTTCTGTTAAATAAATTTTTATTTTACGCCTTATTTGGTAACGACTTAAGCCCTAGAAAAAACTTGCACCGATACAAGAACAGGTTCATGAATGTCTCTGACAGGTCTATTCTGCGCTGGTAAAAAAATTTTGTAACCGGTAAATAGAGTTCCTATCTATTTTTAAATCCTTTTCGCATTCTCTGTACTCTTGTAACCGGTAAATTTTGTTACCATCTCATAAGCTTGTAACAAAGTATTGCCCCGTAAAATACGCAATGCCAGAATTTCCACAATTCTTCATAGCTGAATTGCTGAATATTTTAACTACATTACCAACGCACCTAGAATCGTGGTGACAAGAACTGGTAACATTTTTTAGCAATTTTCCAAATCTTTGTTGGTCTGTGTAATGTACTGTTTACCATACTCGAAGAAGTGAAGTCAAAAGACACCACGGTTAAAAATTTCGTTTTTAATTTGAAACTTTTTGGACTACATATATGACCAAACTAAATTCACTTTCAAATACAAACCTTCCAAGTTTAAAAAAAAAAGAGAGCACTACGTTGGGTTTAGAATCTAAACAGTTCGGTTTAAATTTGAAACCCAAACATTTCCATAATTAAGAATACAAAAAAATCTCAAATTTCATGCTCCGTCTGATGAGGATTGAACTAGCGATGGAATTTCAGAATTTCAAAATGTGCCAAATGGTCTTCAAAAATAGTGCCGAAAACAATTTGAAAGTGCCACAAAGTTAAATTTTTTTAAGGCGTTTTAAGAACAATATCAATCACTTTTAAGAAGGATTCCTTAGACATAGATATACATAAATTCATAGTAAAATTACACGGAATTCCAATTACGGTGAGGAAAGACAACGAAATGTACATATGTAGGTATTATGACATTTTTACACACATATATGTTCATATGTACCTATATGCGAAATAATGTCAGTGAACCACTGTGACCAGTTTCGCCCATTTTGTTCATTGATTATTTTTCGAATGATTTTATATAAAAGTCTAATTCATACTTTGCACAAAAATTATAAAAATTCAGCAGGTTTTCCCAACAATAAACCTTGAATTCAGAAGTTTTCAATTTCATGCATTTATTTCCATATGAAGTGTGTTCGAAAATTTTTTAATGGATGAAAAAGTATGACACCGTCAGAAAAAAATGATCAAAAATCATCGGGCTAATGGACTTTAAAAATGCAAACTTTGAATCTATCTAAAAATTCTGAATTAAAAGCTTGTTGTCGCGAAAACTTACTTTTCGTACTGCGTATTCACAATAGAATTCAGCGGTTTGTAAATATTTCTCATGGCCCTTATTTTAATTTTTAGTGCTTTTAATTTTCACTTTTTGTATTTTTTTAATCTATAATGTTGTATGTGATTTTTTATTATATAGGGG